CATAGGTCATTACTCATCACACATAGCATATTACATACTCATTTTAATCACAACTGCATCAGTTATCATTCATCACAGCTTCAATACTTCAAGTATAATCTCATTTTTTCGCAAAAAAAATTAATCTCCTTAAACGAAAAAAAGGAGTTGGAAAAAAAAAAGTTAAACTAACATTAAACTCATATTCAGGGGAGGGGAGAACTGAGAGGGGAAGTCGAGAACCGTACAGTGTATGGTTCAACGAAATGTTCACTACAAATAAAATGACATTTAGTGACATAGAAAAAATGTTATTAAAAACTAAAAAAGTGTTACTAAAGAACCCTTTGGCAATCAGCGGCACAAAAAAAAAAGTACCACTAAAAGCCTTTAGTGTCACTTTTTGATTGTGTCGTTGCAGCCTTTTGGTTTTTAGTGGCACTTTTTGATTATGCCGCTATAATACTACACGGTTTTAGTGGCACTTTTTTTATGCCACTATATATTTGCTAAAATAAATGTTTTTTTATCTTATTTTAGCAACATATTTTTCACCATAAAAAAAGTTAACCAACAATTAAGTTTGTTTTTTTTTCATTTAAATGGAACATAAAATAAGAATACGATTGACATAATAAATAAAAATCATGATATCATTACTTAATCTGAAATTGAATTTGTATAACAATATTAAATAAGTAAATCATATAAATATCACTTCACATACATGGGCAGAATATGCAAGTAGGGATATACAAATCCAGTATCATTGCATCTATCACATTTTTAATGGAAAAATAGTTTGGAGAAGTAACATATGGTTTTATGACGCTTTTACAATATCTTCTAATGAGGCCTTATATAATCAACAAAGCTCTTTAACAAGGTAAGTCATAAGCGAGACCATCTCCAACAACAAGAGATTGTATAAATGGATAATCTTCAAATTTGATTTAAAATAATGATAAGAAGATGATCTTGAGGGATTACCTTAACTTTTGAGCTCCTTTTAGCTTAGTGAAATGGGTCTTCGCATAAGGTGGAAGGCGGAACACTTAAAAAAAAAAAAAGTAATCCCCCTGTGTGTTATATCTCTAAACCGTCTAGTACCTCCGTTCATAAATGAAGCATGTTTTGAATAGCAAGAAAATCAATGATAAGTGACCAAACTCAAAATGCTTTAAAACTTTAGATTCCTATTTTGTTACATGTAAAAAAGAATGTAGAAGTAAGATCTAGAATGAGATGAAGGTAGAAAATAAAGCTTTAATTAACTTCAACAATGTCACAATTTTAGTACATTATTTTTCACTTGTGCATTTTATCAAACATGTGGTAGGCGGAAGTAAAATCAAAGTTAACAATATAAAGACCTTAAATCCCTACATATCCATAAATCTTATATAACTAAACACGGTTTTCAAATCATCAAAAAACAATAAATTACAAATAAATTTATTTAATTACTTTCAAGAAAGTTGTGGTCAATCTTCCTATATTTTGGTTAGTTAAGCATTGACCGAGGCACATGTATGAGTGTTTTTTGTCACGTTAAGGTGGTGTTTGGCTTTGCTTTTAAAACAATTTTTGAACTTTTAACTTTTCAAAAAAATTAGAAAAACTTCAAAAGATGTTTGGCAAAATAGAAAACTCATTTTAAATTAACTTTTAGCCATGTTTAAAAAGAAACATTTTAAAAAGTCATGAAATCTCATCTTTTTGTGACTTTTAGCTTTTATCTCTTAAAAATCTTAAAGTCCATCCAAACACATTTTAAATACTTTCTTCTAGAAAAAAATCTTTTAGAAAAAATTGTTTTTACAAAAAAAAATTTAACTTAAAAAAGGAATCACATACGCACCCTAAGTAGGGGAAAAGAAACAAAAACAATTATTTAATGATTAAAAATTAGATACCTAAAATAAAAACATCATCGCCACTTTCTAGGTATGAAGTGTACAATCCTTTGGTCGTTGAAAAAAAGAAGATGAGGGAATTTTTTTTCGTCACTCTGATTAGGGGTAAAAGCAACAACAAACAATTATTAAGCAGTTAAAAGCTTGATATAATAAGCATCCTCTCCATTTTTTGAGATTTGAAGGAGATGCAAACCTAATGCTCGGTAAAAGGGATATAAATCAGAAGTAGTGGAGTCGATACAAAGACAAAGGGAAAATACCATGATGGCGATAGAATAGTCAATTAAGAGATGCCTCGATTACTTTGGTTAGACCCAAATTCAAACTAAAAGACTCACGAAGAGGTAAGAGGAACATAGAAGAAGAGAACCGGTAAATGTATAACAAAAATTAAACTTTACCTTAAAATCAAATGTTGCTGGTTGTTGTGTTCTTGTTCTATATTCGTTAATCGCTGCCCAAACCATAGACGAATCGACCACATTCAACTCTAATTACTAATTACTGTCGGATCCACGATTACAGGCACATAAGGAACGAACTAGGACAATACAATCTTTAAAGATGAATTAGGGCAAGGAAAGTTGAGGCGTGGGACTTCGTTTAAATCAAAATATTTGGAATGGCGGAACGTTTTTAGTTTGGGTGGAAATAAGAGCGGAAAATCAAATGGAAAATTTTCAAATTAAAGAGATGATATGGTGGCACAAACGAATATGTGCCACTAAAAACAATAATACAGTGACACAAAACAAATATTTCACTAAAAAATTTGTGTCACTACATGTAATTTTATTTGTAGTGGTTGAAGATGGAGTTAGAGAGGGGAGCTGTTCCATTGTCGGTTAAAGATGTTCACTCACTTCGTTGGTCATCGCTGAGAGGGAAAAAATAGTAAACGTTGGGAGATAGATAGAGATTTAGGGTTACCGATCTTATTCTCTCCGGATAATGGGTCAATTCGGTTTTTAGTTATGTAGTAAGTAACCACCGTAATTTTAATTTTTAAAGTGTAAAAAAAACATCATTTAATTTTAATTTTTTAAAATATCAAAAAATTATTGAATTTATATACATATAATTGTTTATTCAGGAAAAAAAATTATCATAGACTATAATAAGGCTAGAGGGAGTGGTTCCATCCAAGCCACCTGAAAAATGTTGCTAACACAGGGCTACTTCAACTCTACCATCAATCCGTTAGACATTAGAAATAGTTACCACTTCATAATATTTCTTTTTTTCTTTTTTATTTTTTTAACATTAAATTAATAAAAATAATTTATAACATAGATAAATGTTTTAAAAACACAGAAAAATAAAACCAAATTTCATTAATTAAAAACATAGAAATTTAAAACCTAAATTACAAATAATAATAATAATAATAATAATAAAGTCAAAATAAAAATAAAATTACCAAATAAAACATTACATTACATAAAAAATATAAAAATTTAAGAGTGTGCATGTTTTATTGTGAAAATATTATCCATTTTTTTAAAGTATGTTTGTTTTGAAAGAGTATGTGTTTTGTTGTGAAAAAAAAAAATTAATGTAAGTCTATATAGAGAATTAATTAAAAATTGAATTGATTTTTTTTATTAAATTGTAAACGTTCAAAAAGTGTCCAACGTTCAAAAAAATCAAACAACCAATCATTGAGTCCGTCTTCATCTGTCTTTGCACCCACATCACAGCCAAACCACCGGCCCTAAGGACTGTGTTCACGCCTCTTCAGCTGTGCCAAGTCAGCATCACACGTGGGTTTGTATACCCACTCCGGAAAGCCTAATAGGATATTGCCCTGAGTTGGTAATTTTTTTCCAGAAAAATGACTTGACAAAGTTTTTAAAAAAAGTACAAAAAAACACCATTCAACATTGTTTAATACAAAAAATACCAACAAACTATAGAATTTACGTTGCTATTAAAGTTTTGGAGAATTACAAAAAACCGGAAATTTTTTCAAAAATATAGGGTAGTCGTCATTTTTTGGGGGTTAAAATCAGAAATTTGTAAGTTTTTCTACTTTTACCCTTGTTAAGGTTTCCACATAACCTTAAAATAAACTTCATAGGAAATTTCATAAGTTTGCAATTGTTTTACGTTTTTTTTACCGTGGTCTTGCAATGTAAAAGAAAACAATTACAAATCATGAACAACCCACCCTCTTGCTCTCGTAGAAGGGAATTGAAGCAAGAAACGATGACATTGCAATGTAAAACAAGACAATTACACATCATGAATAGCTGACCATCTTGCTCTCGCTGAAAGGAATTGAAGCCAGAAACGACACCTTCTCCTCAGGTACCTGCAGAAGAAGAATATGATGGTAAAACAGGGAACACACTACAACAATCGGACCCTGTGGAGACGACAAATTCAGACCCTATGGAGACGACAAGTCGTCGGCATAGGGAATGGCGACAACAAGTCTTCGGGAAAGAGTTGTAGGCACAGGCGCATCGGCATAGGTCTGTTAGGTCGTCGGCATAGACATCGTGGTATAGCTAGCTCTATTGCAACGACATATCGTCGGTGCAGATTTTGTCAACGATATTTTCGTGAGAAAAAAATAAAGTTTTATTAAAATCCTTTGGCGATGACTAGTCGTCGGGACAGGTTGAAGCTATTACGACGCCATGTTGTCGCTATAGGGTTTTAGCAGTTAACGGTTATGGACATGTAGCGACGACTAGTCGTCGGGATAGCTACTGGTTGTTTTTTTCAGCTTTACAGGTTTTGTACATTACCATTCCTGCATTTTTAACAAATCCAAAAAAACATTGGAGCATATATCAATTGAAATACATTAATTAGGTACCATTGTTCAAATTCAAGTTTAATATTACAATAAGTAGTTAACTAATATTGGTCATAATACTAAAAAAACACCAATCATCATTATCATAATCTTCTTCGTCGTCTTCTTCTTCTTCTTCTTCTTCTTCTTCTTCTTCTTCTTCTTCTTCTTGCTGTGTTTCGTTTTCTTGCTGTGATGGACGGACTTAGCGTGTCAAAATCAATGGTGGTGGCTGGTGGTCACCTGAAATAAACAAAATTAGAAAAGAAAAAAAAAATTGATCATCTGTTTGTTACCTACAATAACATAGGAAGATTGGTGAAGGAGATAAGCCCGAATTCTAAACACCACCGCAATGGGGAAGCTTTAGGCAGTCGAAGACGGAAAGCACCACCACCACCACCACCGGTGAAAACTTCTAATTAAACACCAAAAAAAAACCCAAGGTGAAAATCATTACCACACAGCAATAACAAAAGAAAAAGGAGTAGAAAACAACTTACTTGGGTTAATCGCCGGTTATTTGAGCTGGAATCGCACTTTCGTCGGAGAGAAAGTGTTATGGTTGCGTCGCTGTGCAAATGAGCTCCGTCTGCGTATTGTTTAGGGTAAACCCCTATGCCGACGACATGTCGTCGGTATAGGGTCAATTAAACGATACCGTTTCGTCTTTTGCTGAAACAAAAAAATAATTAAAAATTAAATACCTGTGGCGACGACGTGTCGTCGAGATAGCCCTTTCACGTGGATCGCCACATGTCATAGCGACGACAGTATAGCATAAAAAAAACTACGTCGTTTTAATTTTCTTGCACATGAAATAAAAATAAATGGAAAATATATGTTTTTATACCTATACCGACAACATGTCGTCGGCATAGATTTTCAGGACACTGCGCATTTTTTTGTCATTCCCGCCACACTTGTACCGACGACAAGTCGTTGAAACAAAGGTCCGGGTCAAATTAATTTAGTCAAAGTTTTCAAAAGCTATGGCGACAACTAGTTGTCGGTAAGGTGTACTTGTGACGCGACACGTGTTGTCGGGATAAGTGTCGTCTCCATAGGCTGTTATTGTTGTAGTGACATAGATTGACATCGTACAGCACCAAAGTCAAAAGTGGTTATAATCTATCTGTTATCTGTAATGCGGCTAAACAAGAAGAAAACATGCCAGAAAATAACTATAAGCCCAATTACTTACTAATTTCATCAGCTATAATTAATCCAGCAACTTTAGAACTATACACCGATATATATACCTCCTCCCTCGTGGTTTTTCCACTTGGTCCTGATGAATGAACCACATACAGATCACCTAAATCAATGCGGATGTTTAGCTCTTTAAAGACTCTACTTTTCAGATCATAACTTACCAAACTTTTACCCCATCTTGATTTCATGAAAACGATATATCGCTTGCTTATCACGCCACAAACTGGATACCGAAAAGCAGCACCATGATATCTTCCAAACTCATGATCCGGGACATGAGTTATCGATAGCAACTTCTCCCACGTCATACTTTGAAAATCTTTAAGAATCCATATGTCAGTTTTGTCCCGAGAAACTCCATCAATGAGGGTGAGAAAACCACCCATCTCAAAAATCGAATAGTAGAGTCTCTTAAGCTCACTGGATTCAGATTCAGATTCAGGTAGTGTCATTTGAAGAACTTCTTCTTTTATCATATCAACGGAAACCAGATACTCAGAACAATTAACATTCCAATGAAAGTACATTCCTTGAACCTGAACTGAAACCGACTCAAACATATCCCTATGATCCATATTAAAAGGTACTTTGATCGATCTTTTTCCATTTTGAGGAAACACGAGAGACAATATCTTTTTCCAAGTGTAGAATATGGCATTGGATTCTTAGATCCATTTACAAGTGAACAACCTTGTATACTCCCTTGGATTTGCCAAAGGAAAGGGCCATTTCACATCTGCTTGCATCATGTTGTGCACAAGATGTTGGACATTTGGGAAGAATTGAAGAAATGATCTTTCCTTGGTGATTATATTGAAAATATACAGTGAGTTTCTTCTTCTGGTGGGATTTGTTATCAGAAGAAACTCGTTATACCATGACTTTATCCTTCCAAACAAATGTATGTCAAGATTTTCCATATTGGCTTCCAGTCCTTGTCTTCTTCCCTTACATCCACATGGCGCCCTGTAAAGGATCCATATGACTTCTGGAGGATAACAGAAGCGTGGTGATCTAGCAAGATCATGTTAGTGATTATATTGAAACATTGTTTACACACATACTTAGCGTTATAACGAAGGAAAACATTAGGAAGCCTTTTAAGTATACTTAAAACAACGTCATCTGGAAGAAACACAAACCAATGAACCTCATTCTTCTTTCTCTTCATTTGTTCATCTTCACACTCTTTCCTGCACTTGCTCATTGCCACCCCCATCGACTTCTGTTTCAAAATAATATTATAACCTTTTTTGTAAGCAGCAACATGAGGAATAAAGATAACTATGTACGTAACCACATTAATGGAACATGCATGACTGATCTATTTATACATCAAGCGAACATGCATGTGTTTCATTTCGGATCAACAGGAACTAAGTATATTGTGTTTAGATATAATCAAGACATGTAAACCCTATCAATTTTAAACCCGAGTTTTAAGTTCCCAATCGATTTGAGCCTTGAAATTGTAAAAACTAAAACCCTATTGTGGTATTTGAAGGTTTTTAAATCTTAACATTTATAAGTAATTTGTTTTGACATTGACATTTGTGACGAACTGAAAGAACGTAAGAGACGCAATTCATATCAAGATGATACTAGAAAACATGGGGTTTTCCGATCCTATGGAAAATAGCCACATAAACACATTGCAAAAAGAAAGGAAACACTACTAGAAAACATGGGGTTTTCCTACGGAAAATAGTTGCGGAAAATTTCTATAGCCAATTAGTTACGGAATTGTTACGGATCAGCTATAGAATGGGATGCCCTAATTTAGTAACGGAATAGCTCCAGAATAACTACGGAATAGCTACGGATGCTAGTCCATAGCTATTCTTAGCTAATTAGCTACATAATAGTTACAGATGTTAATCCGTAGCTATTCCGTAGCTAATTAGCTACGGAATGGCTACGAAATACCTACAGATACTAATTACCTACGAATTAGCTATAGATTATGCTTTCCGTTAGAATTTTGTAGCTAATTCGTAGCTAAGTAGCTACGGATTTTTCTTATTTTCGATTCTTAGGGCACCAAACATCGTTTTTTTCGCTTCGTTTTTTTCACACCTCTACTATACATGATTATGTATATTTTCACCAACTTCTAGCTATTAATATCGTTCATAAAATCGTGTGCTCCTTCAGAATCAAATACTCGTTTCACAGTTTAACATTGTAATGCCTATATTATTCACCAACTTTTGATGGATTATGTTTGTATATGTATATTTATATTCATGAATGAGTTGTGGTATATGTATACGTGTATATGTGTATTTATACGTGTTTCTGAGATGTATGTGAACGTATTCATAAACATTATAGTGTTAAACCACTAAATGAGTAATGGATCCCGTATGTGCACACAACTTTATAAATAATATTAATAGTTATAAGTTGGTGAAAATATAGATAATCATGTATAATAGAGGTGTGAAAAAAATGGAGCGAAAAAAAAACAAAATTTGGTGCCCGAAAAATAAAAAATAAGAAAAATCTGTAGCTAATTAGCTACGGATTTTCTTATTTTCGATTTTTCGGACATCACACGTCGTTTTTTTCGCTTCATTTTTTTCACACTTCTACTATAAATGATTATCTATATTTTCACCAAATTATAGATATTAGTATCATTCATAAAGTCGTGTGCCCCTTCGGGATCAAATAGTCGTTTCACAGTTTAACATTGTAATGCTTATACTTTTCACCAATTTGTGATGGATTGTGTTTGTAGATATATGTGTATGTATACGTGTTTGTGAGATGTATGTGAACGTATTCATAAACATTATAGTGTTAAACCACTAAACGAGCAATGGATCCTATATGTGCACACGACTTTATAAATGATATTAATAGTTATAAATTGGTGAAAATATAGATAATCATGTATAGTGAAGGGGTGAAAAAAACGGAGCGACAAAAACGACGTTTAGTGCCTGAAAAATCGAAAATAAGAAAAATCTGTAGCTAATTAGCTACGGAGTATATAGCTAATCCGTAGCTAATTACCTACGGATTAGCTACGAATATGTTTTTTGTTAGAATTCCGTAGCTAATTAGCTACGGCGTTTTCTTATTTTCGATTTTTCGGGCACTAAACGTCGTTTTTTTCGCTCCATTTTTTTCACATCTCTATTATACATGATTATCTATATTTTCACCAACTTATAACTATTAATATCATTCATAAAGTCGTGTGCACATACGGGATCCATTACTCGTTTAATGGTTTAACACTATAATGCTTATGAATACGTTCACATATATCTCACAAACATGTATACCTACATCATGATGATGATGATGGTGATCATCATCATCATCATCACCATCACCATTATCACCATCATCATCATCACCATCACCATCATCACCATCACCACCATCACCAACATCATCATCATCACCATCATCACCATCACCACCACCACCATCATCACCACCACCACCACCACCACCACCATCATCATCATCATCACTACCACCATCATCATCATCACTACTACCATCTTCATCATCATCATCATCATCATCATCACCATCACCATCAGCATCATCATCATCATCACGACCACCACCACCATCATCATCATCATCATCATGACCACCACCATCATCATCATCATCACCATCATCATCATCATCATCATCACCACCACCACCACCATCATCATCACCACCACCACCACCATCGTCATCCTAATCATTATTGTCATCGTTATCATCCTCATCGTCACCGTCACCGTCACCATCATCACCACCACCATCACCATCATCATCATCATCATCACCACCACCACCATCATCACCATCACCATCACCATCACCATCATCATCATCATCACTATCACCACCACCACCACCACCATCCTCATCGTCACTATCACCGTTACTGTCACCATCATCACCACAATCATCATCATCACTATCATCACCATCACCATCACCACCACCACCACCATCCTCATCGTTATCCTCATTGTCACCGTCACTGTGACCATCACTGTCATCACCACCACCATCAGTATCACCATCACCATCACCATCATCATCATCATCACTATCATCACCATCACCACCACCAGCACCACCACCGCCATCACCACCGCCACCCCCACTGTCACCGCCGCTGCCACCGCCACCGAAATAATAGTAATAATAATAATGGAAATAATAACAATAATAATAAATAAATAAATAATAATAATAATAATAATAATAATAATAATAATAATAATAAAGTTATTATTATTATTGTTATTATAATAATAAAGGAATGCATGTCTGTATTGTTTAAAAGCAGTTATGATATTCTTTGTATATGGATGTGGTATGCCCGGCCTGTTGGTTAAATCCTTGACATTATACTTACTGTATTCGAGTTCGAATCTTACTGTCCCTAGGTTTTGTTTAGGGTTTAGGTTTAGCCTCCCAAATGTTTCTAGATTTTGTCTTGCGTTTTTCTAGGTTTTTAGCCTCCCAAAGGTTTTGTTTACCCGCTTCCTTTTCCCCTAAATATTTTGAAGTTTCGTTTCCCTCCCAAATCCGGTCGCCTCCAATCTCCCACCTTTCCTTCTTCAACCTTTTCGTCTTCAATCTCATCTGCATTCGACATCACCATCACCGCTTTAGCAACCACCACCGGTTGACCTTGATGTCACTGCTCCACGAAACGTATGTCTTGCAGTGAGTTTTCGATTTCTACTTCCTCAGTCGCATATCTCCGGCGGTCTACTGCTTGATTTTATTCTCGGCTGTTCGATTTCATCTCCAAGAAAAACACTGAACTTATTTTATTTTATTTTTTGATATTTACTTCATGTATACAACCGCAATGTGAGTTTTCGATTTCTAATGCTCGATTACTTCATTTTTTTTCGATTTCTACTGATCTAGTACTTCATGCTCGGTATTTTTTCTTATGAAGTGTTTGTTTCATAAGTTCATAGAATCTAAATTTGTATCTATCAAAGTTGTGCTTCTTGTTCTACTTTGATTTGTATACCTCCATGATTTAGAGCAGTTACAGACATTTGTTTTGTTGCCTTTATTGTATTCACTTTGGCCCTATTCCTATTTGCCCTCTTTATCTTCGTTCTTAATTTCCTTCCGCTTTCACATCTTTTGCGGATTGTATGTGGTGTTTAATTTGATATTGTTGAGCAAATTGTTGTTTGTGTAGTTTTTACCTTATTCTTGTTGTATTATAGCAGATCAAGAATCTTTCCAAAGAAGAATTCGTGCACTTACTAAGGCGCCATAGCAATGGGTTTTCAAGGGGAAACTCAAAGTACCGAGGGATGGCCACGAACAAATTTGGAAAAGGGGAGACTTTTCTGCATCTCATTTTGGTAAATCTCATAGATTTTTATTTTTATTTTTATAAATTTTAATGAAACTCAACTTTCTGTGTAATATGATGCAGGAAATGATCACAATCTGGATTTAAACTTAGGAATCTCAACTCTACGAGTCTTGGAAAGACTTCAACTAGGAATGGAAACTTAGATCATATGCAGTTGAATCATGGCTTACATGACATTAGGAGATTACAGGTAATAATTTCATTCCACAAAACAAAGTAAATTGTTTTTCATTCCAACGGAATGCACAATTCCTTGATTCCATAATAATAATAATAATAATAATAATAATAATAATAATAATAATAATAACACTTAACTTTCATATAATAGACAGATAACGGAGCTACCACAACACTTAAAGGTCTACTAGTGATTTCTTTTTGACCATCGTCCACTATGGTCAGCCATGCATCCTACCTTCTTACCCAACCACAAGCTTAATTAATTAGCTTTTATGTAAATTTTTAGTTTCATATGAATTGTGTTTTACAGTTGTTATAATTAATTTAGATATTTATAAAGTTGAAGTTGAATTAGTTTCATCAGTGCACTGTAAGTGTTGTAAATAGCAACATACTTTCAGGTTTGACTAAATTTTTTTATTTTGTTGTATAGATGATGTTTATTGTAATATTTATTAATTGTTTTTTTATTGTAATGTGTAAATAGCCCTTACATTTTGTTGTATAGATGATGTTTTTGTAATATGTTAATGAAATGAATTTTTATTTCATTTTGACCAAATTAATTGTTTTTTGTTTAAAAAAAATTATTGTTTTTTTTTAAATAAAAAGTAATTAGCTACAGATTAACTACAAAAAATCCATAGCTATTTACTCCTGTAGCTATTTCGGAGTTATCCACTTCCGTAGCTAGAATTTAGCCACGGGCCATTATGCTACAGATATTTTTCCGTAGCAATTTTGTAACTATCCGCTTATAGCTACGGAATAGCTACGGATTGTGTTATAGCTATTGAACCAGTTTTCTAGTAGTGAAACCTGTAGAACGCCAATTTCCATACGTGCAGAGATCGATGATAGTCAAAAGTTAGGGTTTTTTTACGGCATAACCTAGAAGGAGTATGATGTCGATCAGGCGGTGGCTGTTTTTATTTTTTAAGATCTCTCAAATTGCCGCTCAAATTATTTCCTAAACTACCGCCCCTTTTTATTTATTTAAAAGAAAACATAAATTTTGATTAATTCCTATAAGATTTTTTTTCATAAAATCTAAGCAAAAACTAACTCGGTTTCAGAAATAGACATACCTAGTGTGTGATTTAACAATCATATTGTGTAATCTGACAATCATATTGTGAAATTAAGATTAAGTTTTTAAAAATGGATAATGACTTAAAAGGGTAATATGTTTTTCGATTTGTATACATTTGGTCACTGAGTTGTCTTTTTGTCCATATTTACCCCATCAGCTTGTTAAACTGCATTTAGTCCTTATAACCGGTTACTTCATGTTAACTAGTAAAAATGACTTAATAGGGTAATATATTTCTCATTTTATACACATTTAGTCCTTAATGTTTTTATATATACATTTAGTCATTGATATTTTTTTGTTTTGAAATTCAGTACTTATGAATGATTTCTTTAGGTTTTTCTCACGAGTGACAATCATTGGTAAGGTGTTTAGGACTGTTGATACTTATATCCATCGCGGTCTCGACTGCTTAGTTGCGTAGGTCATGTGGTTTGGCTTAGGTTTTGTGTTCTGAAAGTCGTAACTTCTTCATACGATATCAGATTCTAACGATTTTTATATCCACATGTTCGTTTATTAAGTCTAGTACAACTTCGTTAAGACTACTCCCGTTAAATGTAATATATTTTTACTTACGATTTTATTAAAAAAAAACATCCATATAAAGATCATAAGTAAATATGTATTAGTTTTTAACGGGAGTAATCTAAACGAAAGTTGTAGTAGATTAAAATACAAACTTATGGATATAAAGATCGTTAAAATCCAAAATAGTATGAAGAAGTTATGTCGTTCAGAACACATGGCCCAAACAACCAAGTAGTCGAGACCGCGATGGACATAAGCATCAAAAATCTCAAACACCTCATTAATGATTGTTACATGTAAGTTGTAAGAAAAACCTAAAGAAATAATTGATAAATATTGAATGAATACAAAAACAAAAATGACTTATGTTGCAAACAAATATTAAGGATTAAATGTGTACAAAAATATTAAGGAATAAATATGTACAAAGTGAGAAATATATTACCCTATTAAGTCATTTTTACCGGCTAACATGGAGTAGGTCATAAATATTGAATGTGTACAATTTAACAATTTGTAGGGGTAAATACGGACGAAAAAAAAACTCAGTGACTAAATGTGTACAAATCAAAAAATATATTACCTTTTTAAGTCATTATCCCTTTCAAAAACTTATAAATTGTTCTTTTGTTCAATTATATGAAAAAAAAAAAAAAAAAATCTTTCACAAAATTATGAATTCGCTACAAAATATTTTTCCATTCTTGCTTGTATCGATGGGTCATGGAGACAGCAAAATATCAAGTTGAAATATTGAATATAGTAGGCCTTTTTGTTCGGTTTATAATTTTTTGTGAATATAAACTTTTACGAGTAGGTAAATTTGGTGAAATTCAAGGTAGGTTTAAAGATAAATCTACTATTAGTTTGTATTTCCAACATCCTAAGTTGCATAATGTTATGGAGATAATTGACGAGAGTGTCAAACACTTGAAAAGTGTTATTTTTAGCATCTCAATGTTCAATATGTGTATAAGGTATTTTGGGTTATTTGGTTAAAAAGTGATTACCTCTCGTTTAGAAAGAAAAAAGAAAAAAAAATGCGTTCCACTTGCGATATACACTATCATGTACTCTCTCTATAGTTGCTTTCTTTTATACCCGAAAGAAAGTGGATTTGATAGATTAACACATTAAATTTCGTGTAACCCAAACAATTATATTAGTATTAAAATATTAATCATGCAAAGTGGAGAGACATGATCTATCAAAAAATGAGATTCTAGATTCCAGTTCGACCCGTTTTCTAACATTTTCTAACAAAAAAAGACATGTAGAAAATAAGAAGTAGAGTAGAGAACAAATTGCAAAACATATTGGAGGCTTACTAATAAGAAATCAAGAGATTTATTTGTATGAAGCTATGATCGTTTTGTTTATTGTGAGAAGTTGTTTATCAAAGATGTGTGAGAAAGAGAGATTAATTCTAGAAAAAAGAAAAAAAAAAAAAAAAAAAAAAAAAAGAATATTTGTGTAAATATAACAAATGATAAATGATAGGAATTCATAAGTTCTTGGAAAGAAAGTTGAATTTCTATAGTCCGATCTTTGCAACCGTAAACTCCCGCCAATACTGAGGTGATAAACAGCTAACGGCAGTAAACGATCACCGCTTGCTATTATACGCCATTCGGCGTAATGCGCATATCCCTGACAATAGAGAAGCAATTTCGAATAGCCAAAAACCTGCAACTATGTCCCACCCACTCTCTCTCGTCACCTTTCTCTCTCTACTCTTCATCCTCTCCCCTGCCGCCGCCACCACAATTGGCGTCACATACATCTCCTCTCCGGGTCTTCCTCCGCCGGAAGACGTTGTTGCCATCCTCCAATCCCTAAAGATCACCGCCGTCCGCCTCCCTGTTCCTGACCCTAACATCATCCGAGTTTTCTCCTATACAAACATATCTCTCTTCCTCGCTATTCCTAATTCACTCATCTCTCCCATCTCCGCCAACCGCTCGGCGGCTTATCGGTGGCTCTACGATCACGTAATTCCGTTCTATCCACGTGCACACATCACCGCCATATCCGTAGGAACCAATGTCCTCGCTGAGGGCGATGTTACCTCCGCAGATCTCGTCATCCCTGCTATTCATAACATCCATCGATCCCTCATTGACATGGGGATCCGGCAAATCATGATCTCCACAACTCTCTCCTTCGTCAACATTATGACAACATCGTTTCCGCCTTCCTCCGCTGAGTTCCAAGAACCTGCCAGTAATCTCATCATCAAACCCTTACTCGATTACTTGACCGAAACAAACTCTTCGTTCTTTGTGAGTTTGTACCCCTACTCTGTCTACAAATTACGACCGGAGATCCCTATCGGGTTCTCTCTGTTTCAAGAACACGCTTATAACTTCAGAGAGGACACAATCACCGGCGTCAGGTACCGCAACTTGTTCGATCTGATGGTGGATGCTGTTATTGCAGCGATGGCTGT